GCTTTGCCGGGTCTGATTTTTCGTGTCTGGATTAGACCAAATAAGTCGAACCCAGAAGTTCGATTGCCAGCCGCCGAACTAGCGGGTAAGTGTAGCCAAGGCCTTAGTGATACACAAAGAGCCTGAGTCTGATCCAACTGACACCAGTGTAAATCAGGATTAACTTCAGCTACGTCACTTTTGCCCCAGTGTTGAGTATTAACATGCAACTCAGATAACAACATACGCAGATATGGCTTAGCTGTGCAGATAATTACCTCTTTTGCACATGCAGTTCTGGTAATTAAATAAGCTCAATTGCATGTGCATTTGCACCTCTAGTTTTTTTGTTTGTTTGTTAGTTGTAAATCTGGCTCTAAAAGCACTTAGAAATGTGATCATCTCCCCAGTCAGCTTTTATATGTCTTTCACAGTGCTGCACTTGCGATATTACTTTCAGGAAACAACCTGCACTCCAATCCATTGCCCCGCCTGCCCCCTTTTTGCCCCCCGCCCCCTATAACACACACGGAGGAAAACCTACTTTGTCAGAAACTAAAGCGTTTTGTGAGATTAAAATGTAAATGTTATACTCCACTTTTCAAAATATGTTTTATATTTTACTTTTGACTGCGTGAGGAAATAGAATTTTTATAACCCTGTGAAATGATTGCCACCCAGACACTTTGGCAAATAACTAAAAACCTTAATAAATAAATCCTCTGTCAGCTAGGGCTGAAAACCAAGTTGCTCGTGGTTTGCCGGAATATTGTGAATTACAAAGCAGTCTCATACAATTGGACTAGTAATCACAGGAGCACGTATTGGGCTGACTTTGGTTTCCCTAGTTGGGAGAGGGAAGGGTGAGTGTACAATGGCTCATTCAGCAGGACTAGAAATAATCAGTGTAAATTAATTTTTGGTGCATTTGCTGATTTGAAAAAAAAATCAGCAAAAATTAATTTACAGCAAGTATTTCTAGTACCAGGCCAGCGGCAATGCTGGTCCGCAGAAACTGGAAAATAATTTAACCCTAATATGTAGCTGGCACTAAAATAAATAGGTACTAATATAAACAGGTTTGCAGTCTATCTGCATCAGTATATTTACAAAGGTAGATGGCTGATGCTGCAAAGTAAGTCCCTGGCAATCGCTTTGACATGAAATTACTAGCCCTTCCTGTCACTGAAAATATCATGAAGTAGCAGAATAAATTAGGTAAGTACCTTGGTAAATGGACCATGTGATTACAGGATAAATGTATATGAAAAAATACATTAGTCCACCACCATCTTCAAATAACTTCAGGTATTTTCAATTCCTTTCAAGATCTAGTTTGAAATGGCCCTCATGGTATCTATAGGGTTTCCATAGATTCCTTCCACCCCTGTCTTTCTTAGCTATCCTCTCCATTCCCTCTACTCATCTAATACCTACCTCCAAATCTGTCACTTCTGATAATCTTCTCATTGCTGGTGCAAGAGCCTTCTCCTCTGCAGCTCCTCCCATCTGCAGCTTCTGCCTCGCTGAATCTCAATCATTATTCATTATTTGCTAGCTGGAGTAATGAATAGTTGGCATAACAGTTTGTAAACATTTATATATATCTTCATCCAAATACTTACGAATGAAAGCATCTGAATAAAATCAGGATCAGTTATCCAAGATCTTGCTATGCAAAAAGAGGGCTAAATTCATAGCCCAAAATATTTCAAAAACGATCATGATTTTGGCTACCTACATTTTTGGGTGCCCTTTGGCACACTTTTCAGAAGCCTAAAAATTAGGTCACTTGAAGCATGTCTGAAGCTGGGTACCCAAACTAACCGACACACCCCAGCTCACTAGTGACTTTTGAAAAGCTTGCCCATAATAAATATTCATAGATCTGCACATGTTTAAGGCCAGAATGGACCATTAGATTATCTAGTCCGTCCTCCTGTATAACATGGGCCATGGAATGAGTATTAGGACTGAACAGTTTGACCAGCTGTGCTCACAACAGATTGCTCGTGCATGATGGGCAAATCAGGAATCATTTGGTGAACAATTTCAAAAAACAAATACATACAACATAATAAACAGACAATTCACCAATTGACAATGAGGCTGACCTGCGAACTTAATTTTTTACTATGAAGTATTCACGCAGTTCTATCCACTAAATAAGCTATTAATAGGGACATGTTTATAGTGGACTTAAACAACCATGGTGATGTATTTTATATCAACAAACTTGTCAGCACTTGAGTGGAATCCTACAGGGCGTACAGTACCAAACCACTGCAATGATAAAGACCATGTGGCTAATGAGGCTTGGTGAGCTGTGAGCCAGCTGTATATCTTGCAAATGAAAGAACACCAGCTAAAATATGGGCTTACCATCAACTTAGGATACTGCTTTATTGGCCTCAGTCCTAGCCCAAGGTCGTTGACTGAGACCAGGCTGGGCTTTTCAACGCCCCGTGGCATCTTTAAACATTCCCTCCTTTCACCAGCTTGGAACTTGGTCAGTTTCATTTTGATGCCATTTGCTACTTCTCTGCTCTTTTCTCCAGTGAGGTCTTTTTGTTTGTTTTTATTTAATGGTGTAAATCTCATCAGCTTCTAGACCTTTTCGCCGGCCTGCTCTCCCAGCAGTGCTTCCTACGGGATCACAAATGACATATTGCATCTGCATTGAAACAAAATGAGTTCATCCCCATTTTTAGATAAGGGTGTCATTTGTAAATGCTTTATTCATAATTAATGAAATTATTACTGGATGCAGCCACATTCCTCATCCGTGTATAATAAGATACTTTGTAAAGTGCATTAGTAAAAAGCTTACAGATGAGGCTCTGACAAACCTACTGTGAAACATATTCTATGGCGTACTGCAGCTTTTGTTCAAACAATCTATGTGCAAGCTTGTGAATGATCAGTCTGGCTAGATGGTGATAGATGGTGCAAATGTTAATTAATAATAGGCTAATGTTGATAATTAATAGTAAATCATGATGATGGGATTTTGTTAGTCAGTGTTATGATAATATTCATTTCACAGAATCATAAAATCATAGAAGTTAGAGATGGAAAAGCCCCATTCAGTCATCTCAGTCTGTCTTTCTGCCAGTGCAGTACCATTCCTTACAGAGCATTTACTGCTGGGTAAAAAGTCTTGTGATCCCAGATTCATCCAACCAGGAAATATGGAGAGGCCTATTGATCTCAATGCAATTTTTATATAGTATTTATGAAAACCCTGATGCATTGTTTGACTGTAGAACATGAAGAATGAGTCATACCTGTCCTCTCACTATCAAGAGGTTATGGTGATAAGAGACCTATGAATCTATGTAACCTACGGTAAATATGTGAGGAAATAACAATGTAAAAGGTGTCTTCACACATATGATACGTGGCTTCCTCCAGCAAGTTCAAGACGACATCATACCATACCTCTTACCTTTGGTATAGAAAAACTTCTTGTACTGTTGTAACAACCTGCGATACCAAATAACACAGAGAGAGACACTTTAGAAAACTGCATGTCCTTTAGAAACAACAGAACAATGTTTCCAAGTTTTTCAGCTGACACTACATTTTCCTGCCTTATATATACAGGACTGCATCACTCCCGGCACTACATCATGTTGCATGAAGTGAATGAACATTTGCCCTTGGGCATAGGCTGCCCTGAGGAAAGAGGAAGTTCCACGTCACTGTACATTATAAAATCTGATGGACAAGGCGAGCAGTATCATTCAATGACAACTAGAGATGGCCACTTAACTCTCAATTCAAATACCCCCAAGGGAGTCCCGTCCCATTTATATTGCTGCTAGCCACTTGTGAGGCTATTCTTACAGCTGGAAGATTTCCTGGCTGATTGGATGACTATCACACAATGGTATCATGGTGTATGGAGGAACATGTTGGAATTGCAAGCTATCGCTTTAAGAGTGTGGGAAGGTGGGGCTTCCTGGTCCTGCTTGCAGACTCGGGGGCTCTGTAGTGAAGTGTGCGATCAGAGCAGTCTAGAAAGAACCAGATGGAGTGAGCTGTGCCTCTCTGCTTTAGAGAGAAGCCTGCTTTATCCATCTCTCGGCTTTTGGTTACTGTGGGTTATTATTCTGGAATCTAAGAATAAAAGTAGTGATACATTGCACCCTTCCAGTAACACTATTTTATATACGGGGTATATATATTTTTAAGCTAACTTCTCTGTGTGTATGCCAGGAACATAACAGGTAAGTAGGAGCCTAAACATGATTGGGACTGACACTGCCTGTTAAGACATGGTGCAGTGGAATTTTCAGGCTGAAGATAAAAATGGGGTGACTTGAAGAATTGCCGTTCTTTGGAGAAAACAGATCAGAACCTCAAGAGACTAAATTTTCTGCCAGCCTCAAGAAGGGCTGATTTCACATGCCTTGTTTTGCATGCACAATTGCACCATGCAAAATCCCCATTGGCAAATACGTCAGTGGCCTTATCTGTTAGCAAAAGTGGCTGGTGGGTAAGCAAATACAGAGGTCCAGGGCTGAAAATTGAACCATGAGTGACATTAAAAATGAACAACAACAAAACACAGCAACTAGAAAAGACCCCATCGTTCAAGTCATTTATAAACAGATGGGATAAAAAATATATTGCAGGGAACAATTCTGGTTGGCCTATCAGGACGGGATATATTTTCTATGCTAAGATGTAGGCTAGTTATTCACTAGTACCCAGATATTTCATAAGTAATCTCAACCAAAGGCATAAAATTTACCTAGCTCACTGCCATCTTCCTATAAGCAGGATCTCATGTGTTGAGAGGTACATTACATTTTGCCGATCCCTTTCGCACAGCTCTGTTACTTACCACCTTTATTAAAGTCCTAAATCCTTAAACCATGTTAATACCTATACAGCTTTCCTGCCTCTTGCAATCCACGCATACAGCTTATTGACTAGAACAAGAATAATGTTCACCAAAAGCTAAAAGAGACAAGTGTTAATTCTGGAGTTCTCTTGGTAAGGAAATTAATATCAAGGCTTTCTTTGGACAATAGAGTCCTTTGAACCGATACACAAATGACCTCTGCCCCCCTAACCCTTTCTTAACTTTGTCTTTGTTTGGTTTTTAACATTTTCATTTCAGACAAATCTGAACCAGGATTCAGTCCATTGTGGCCTCGCAGACAGACCATCTCTTATCTCACTTACGTTAGTAGCAATTATTTACAGCAGAAATGTTTAAGCATGAAAGTGGGATTACAGACAACGTTGTACCTTTGCTACAGCAATGTGCATCTTGCATTGTTTTCAACTTCCTCAACCGCTGGGCTATTTGCCTTTCCCCATCTGGAGCCATTGTCCTGAACTTTGTTCCACCTTTTAGGCCTTCAAGGTCAGAGCTTTCATTGGGCACTTGTGACCCGTGTTCTTTGCAGATGTTAAGAAGTAGGAGCAAGTTGAACACTACATGAGGTGAGGGTGGGGTTCAGCAGTATTAATACTTGGTAATAACATAGCTATTGCGACAGCTTTTAACACAGTGTTTTCTATTAAGGGTTCCTTCTTCAGTTGTAAGTACTCTTGAAATTGTGGAATTTATAGCATTGACCTAAGCCAGGCACAGATCAGGCAGGCACTATGCAAGTTTGCTCCCAGGATCAGGGATCAGCTAGTCCCAGGATCAGGGGGTTGGGAGACATAAAGGTGGCATATGCCCATATTTGACTACCCTGCTTGGATTTTCTGCTCTAGCTTTGCAGAACCTCTGGATTGGGCCGAGGGCATTACTGTAATTCCAGCCCTGTGGCCCTGTCTATATTACAAAATCTCTATGCACTCAGCATGTCAAGCATCTTTGTTCCTAGTAGCTTGGGCCTTGTCCTTAGAAAGGAAACCCGTGTTTGCCTGTAATATTTGATAATCTCTTATATTACTGAGCACATAAGGGATTTTCAGATGAACAGTATTTAAACATGAATAATTAAAATCGGAGTTAAATGAAGATATTGTACAGCTCAGTGCAGTGTAAACACACTGACTACCTGGGCTCCATTCAAATATATTCATTACTATGCCACTTTGGATCCAGACAGGTAAAAGCTTTTACTTTCATTACTAACTAAACCTGATTAAAAGTGATTATGCTCTTGACAAATTTTCTTGTGTCAGGCACTAAATTAAGGGGGGGGAGAGGTATTTTTCCAGTTACGATCGATATTGTTCTGATAAAGTCCTTCTCAAGTCAGAAAAGTTGTTCTCTGCTTAGGTTAATCTGCTTAATAAATGGCATAGGGTGTTCTCAGCTCAGGAATTACAGCACAAAGCAGGTGGAGCAACCTTAAAATCTTAGCTGCAAAGATCTCGTCACATATATTGCTTGATCCCAATGTGAGGATACAATCAATAGCCACAGGGCAGAGACCAGCAGTAGTGAAGCATGCCAGGGAGTCAGCCTGCTGGGTCGGTGTATGACAATTCAGTTCGGGAAGAAGGCTGATGGAATGCTTCTACTCTCTATGAATTTTTCTTACCTTTAAGACCGCAGTCCTAGATCCCCTGACTATAAAAGATCTGACAACTTTTGGTTTCTTCTGGCACTTTTTACTGGTGAATAAGTTGGGGATGGGGTGGGGGCGACAGAAAGAGAAAGAGAGAGAGAGGAAGAAGAAGAGAAAGATTGTTTTAATTTTGACCTCCTGCGAGTCACTTCATTAACCCTGATTCTGCTTGACCCTTTTACAGCCCAACTGTTTATTTTCTTCATGAATCTAAAACCAGATCAATCAACTCTTCCTCAAAGCCCTTTATGAAACCTTGGCTTCCAGTCAAAGTCCTGCTGCTAACAACAGACCTGATGTAAATTGAATCTCTGGGAAACAGGATTGTTCAGTGCAAACACCCATCAAACCTCCCCCGTTCCTTTTTCTCCTCAAAGCCTCACAGGTCAGTCCACTGAAAAGTGTGTGTGTGTGTGTGTGTGTGTGTGTTTCAATAATCATGTCTTGCTGAGGATTTAAATATTAGTCTTCCAAAGCTAGGTCTGTAGCACCAGATTTATTTGTATGAAAAAAACCTTCCCTTCTTGCTTAAGGAAAGATATTAATTATAGATGCAAACCCATAAATCTTTGGGCTTTAGGTGAGGCATTTGCTGGATTATAAATATAAATTGGATATAAGGGTCCTGATCTTCATATTATTACTATTATTACTTACTGTTTATTTATTTTTTTCAAACGATCAGGATCTTCAGATGAGTCAAACATTTCTGGGGAATGGCGAGCAAAGCTTTCCAAGGGTGCAAATGTTGAATTCATTAAAAGATTTTCCTTTCTAACCTGGCTCTCCACTGCATTTCACAGTCCAGTGAGTCATTAAGCATCTCGTTCAGATTCCTCCTCCTCCACCCCACCCCTGGTCCAGCTCCAGTTCTTGATTTCATTATATTGCTTCTGCCAGATCATATCAAGCCTCCTAATGTTTATTAATAATGTCCGGTGTATCCTATTGACAATGTGCCATTGTTTCTCTAAAGTCCTGCTTCCAATACAAGCCTTTGAATGTAGGTCGAAAGGTCCGCAATATATCCCAGCTCTTTGTTGAATGTGACAATTTTCTTCTCCCTTGTTTATTAGAGTAGACCCGTGGTGTCCAGCACTAAGCCACAGGGCCTCATCCAGTAAGGTGCCGCGCATCCTCGACTCCCACGGAAGGAGTTTGCTCCACAGCACTTGGCAGGATAGTACCAAGTGCTTAGATGTGGCAAGTATCGATAACTGTGATCAGGGCCAGCTCCAGGCACCAGCCTGGCAAGCAGGTGCTTGGGGCGGCCATTAAGGAGAGGGGCGGCACGTCCAGCTATTCGGCGGCAATTCGGCAGACGGTCCCTCACTCCCGCTCGGAGCGAAGGACCTTCCGCTGAATTGGCTCCGCAGATTGTGATCGCGGCTTTTTTTGTTGTTGTTTGGCTGCTTGGGGCGGCCAAAACCGTGGAGCCAGCCCTGACTGTGATGTATATATATGTAACTTTTCTGCCAGGGGAATCAGCAACAACAAGGGTGGGCTGAATATCTAGGGGGTTCCTCTTAACAATACAAAACAGACCCGGTTCGAGCCCCCACCCAGGAATCTGGGAAAACTAAACACCACCCCGAGGTGCCTCGAAGAGGCAATACTTCCCCTCTCACAAGCACTGAGTCTGTATAATAAAGGGAAAGGGAACTCAGCATTAAGTTGGGAAAGCACCACAACCACTTTCAAAACATGTGACTATACACAAGCACCCACCCCTCAGTACGTTGAGCAGTGAGAAAGTCTGAACAAATGTTCTTTTAACACCTCTTTCCCCCTCCCCTCTGCTGCACCCCACTCACAATTGGTCCTCCTTGGTCAGCGAAGACCCAGAGTTCAGAGGTGCATACACATGGGTCCACCTTCCACCCCTGAGTGGGGCCGGAGGGGAGGATGTCGAGCAATACCTCCCCTGCAGCTGCCACCTCTGCAACTGACACACTGCCGCTGCTATCTCTGGCGCTGCTCGCCACTGTTATCTCTGCCACCGCTGGCTGCTCACTGCCACCTCCGCCACTGTTATCTCTGCTGCTTGCGGCCACCTCGGGGAGGCCACATTCTGAGCTTCCCCCACTTAGCCCAGTTCTTAGTAACCTCAGAGGGTAGCAGGGAAACTCTGTGCTGTCTTTCACTGCAGCGCTGTTCTCATCCTAGGTCTAAGGCTTAGCCCTAAACCTTCTCATCAGTGAGCTCAGCTCTAGTCATCACTGGGCAGAAACAAAGACTCCCAGTTGAGTCCAAACAGCTGTCTTTAAACACTAGAGAAAGGAGGGTCAAAGGGCATCTGGGACTCTTTAGACAGCAGCCATACCGCCAAGTAGGAACCCCTGTCCTCACCCCCCTCAGCTTCAGTTGGATTTGGCATCCCTACCCTCTGCTTAGCTAGTGAGCTTCAGTTTAAGGTGACCATCTCAATCCGGGCATGCGAAGTACAGGTCTGCTGCCCTTTACTCCTACAGGAAGGATAACAACATTTCCTTACCCCTGCGTTCGATACTAAAGTGAATCGTAACCCCAACCCAGCCAAAACTGATCACTTTGGCACCGCAGGTCTATTTGCTAACCACCTAGGTAGAGTAGGGAGGGAGGTGTGTGTGTGTGTGTGTGTGTGTGTGTGTGTGTGTGTGTGTGTGTGTGTGTGTGTGTGTGTGTGTGAGGGAGAACTCAGTCAGAGCCTGCTTACATCTTCGAGGGATCCGACAGGATGCACCGCGTGCAAGGGGAGCTGGGAGTGCTCAGCACGATCTCAAGAATAAGGCCCATTGATTCTAGCCATGTGCTGGAAGCTTATAAGAGCTCTTTTTAAATCGATCATTCAAAAAATTCAGTTAGTTGCAATGAATCTTCCAGCCATTAGTGCATACAAACATTCAGTATTTGTAAAACATCATTAGTGCTATAAGGGCTAAGTATCATTATTATTACATTGAGTCTAAATGTCTGGCTTCCAGGCTCACTGCATTTTTCACTGAACTCTGAATCTCTAGTAGACTCTGAAGCTGCGGCTCAAATCAGTTTCTTTATGTCACCTCTGGGATGACCAAGGTAACGAAATCATGTCAGAGACAATGAGCCGGATGCTCACCTGGTGTAAATCACTGAAAGGCACAGAGCTATGCTGAGCTACACCAGCTGCGGCTCTCCAGGTGACCGTTCACTGCAGCGACAGCCTGATGCGACAATGCAGAGAATTGTTAAACAAAATGAAAGCATATAAAGAGCTTTAGAACGAAACGCATCGAACGCCTTACACTGATACTAACAGGACATTGTCAGCACAGCGCACGGTTCAAAGTCTGCTTTTTTGAATTAGACTCTCTTGCTTAAATAAATGGAGACTTCAGTATATTAAATGATTTAATGCATTCTGAGCTTTTGCCAGGGATTTCTAATGAAAATGCTGTCCAATATAAAATGCTGGCTAAATTAAACTGTGAAGGGTTTTAATAAACAGCCTGTTGTTATGGTGAACTGTATTAAAGTAATATTTATCTTCATGGTAATGATGTTGCCCTGGGTTTAAACATTTTTATTCGGTTTGAGTTTTCAGATAAAATAGAAGTATTGCATTTAATTTGTCCAGATCTGCAGGGTATGTTCAATGATTGGGCCCAGCCTTTTGCTGGGCAAGTCAATGGAAGCCTTGGCATTGATTTCGCTGGGAGCAGGATTAGACGTGGTATTTGTTAAGCCTTGGCAAAGAGTTCAGCACTGTGCAGAACACGGAGGGAAATATAGTCCCAGCCTAAAGGGGTGCACAGAATGAGCTCCCAGTCCTGCAACTGTGTCAGCAGAGACCAGTGGTCTCCAACTTTTTTGAATTTAAGGGCAACCCAGGATCTACCCTGCCCCTTACCCTGAGACCCCGCCCCTTCCCCAAAGCCCCGCCCACTCACTCCATCCCCCCCTCTCTCTGTCACTCGCTCTCCCCCACCCTCACTCACTTTCATTGGGCAGGGGTTGGGGTTTGGCAGGGGATGCGGGCTCTGGGCTGGGGCCGAGGGGTTCGCAGTGTGGGAGGGGGCTCTGGGCTGAGCTGGGAGCAGAGGGTCGGGGTGCAGGAGGGGGTGAGGGTGTAAGCTCTGGGAGGGAATTTGGGTGCAGGAGGGGGCTCCAGGCTGGGGCAGAGTGTTGGGGTAGGGAGGGGGTACAGGGTGCTGGCTCTGGGATGGGGCTTAGGGCTGGGGGTTGGGGTGCAGCCTCCCACGGGGCAGCACTTACCTCCGGTGGCTCCCAGTCGGCGGCGCAGTGAGGCTAAGGCAGGCTCCCTGCCTACCCCGGCCCCATGCCGCTCCTGGAAGGGAACAACACACTCCTGTGGCCCCTGAGGGGATGGGGTGCAGGCGGTACATGGCGCCGTGCACTACCCCTCTCTGCAAGCACCACCCACACAGCTCCCATTGGCCACAGCTCCCCATTCCCAGCCAATGGGAACTG